CTTAATTTTTAACTATGGGATTTTATTTATGTCTACAATAGTTTTGGGCATACTCAGAAATCTTATATTAAAAATTTTATTAATCCAAGAAAAGTGAATTAATGGGAGCATACGAATATAATTATTTATAATTTAGCCAAAAAGACCTAAGCTAAAGCAAGAATTCAAAGCAATAATTAATGAATATACTTCTAAGAAATACAAATAACTAATGTACTTATTTTACTGTTAAAGCTAACTCACAAAGTTATAAATCCCAAAAGAATAAGTACATTTTCGTCGAATCGATTTTAATATTCATTTTAACTCGGTTATTTTCTGTCTTCTTTTTTCGTGTTCTTATTTTTCTGTGCAATTCTCAATTCTTTTAGTTTTTGGTTGAGTATATTTTTAGTAAAAAACATCGGCGGATGCTCATTGTTGTTGTAACTTGTAATTGGCCAGGGACGTTAATATAAAAATAATTTCGTCTCGATTTGATGAGCAAAAGAAAAATGCATAAATAATTTGATTCAATCAAATGAATGAGTATATAATCACTCTTAATTGAGTCACATTATTTGGTTTGCGACTTAATGAGCCGAATATTTTTTTATTCTATTTATTTATGCCATTGAGGTAGGCAAATATATATATATACATATATAATAAGCATAATTCAATATTGCAGGTGATGTGCATATAAAAAGATTTCTATTTTATTTAATTGGTTAATATCTGGGTTAAAAAATTTTTTATATTAAAACAAAAGGGAAACTAACTTTGTAAAGCCAAAGTTTACATACCATTTGCAATTGTTTGCAATTGAATTAAAGGATTGAATCGGTAATCGTTTATAATTAAGCTTAGAATATTTCATTTTTAATATATATAAATATAATATTAATCTTATATAAAAATGAATTTTTCTACTTTATTTATAACAAAATATGTATATATTTTAAATATATTAAATGATAAACTACTGAATGGGACTAAGAAAACATGAGATACATTTCCCAGTGAAACCAATTTCTTCTGATTAAATAAAACGTAATTTAGGAATTTATTAATGCCTTTAAGAATTAGCTATATAGGATCAGTTTAATCTTTCCATCTTTCCTAATTACATTTCCATTAAATATTTCTTTTGAACCTTGAAGTTACTAGAGTCTTCTTTTATCTTCCACTTATCTGCATATTACAAATATTAACTTGATTGAGATTGTTCAACGCACGCACCGTTGGCCACGCCCACATTGTGTCAAACACGCTAATTTACTGTTACATTATTTAAACACATACAAATATACACACACACCCACACAGACAGCCATCGCATCGGTATGTAGAAGCGATAAAACTGAAAGGTTGTCACTTTGGCAGCGTTATTCGGTCGCTCGTGCTGGTTGGGATATTGGGATAGGCAATGGTGTTTGTCATGGTTAAAAAGGGGGGTACGGGTGCTGCAGGGGAGGACTTGATAGAGGGGGAGAGGCCAAAGAAAAACAACAAAGAACTCGGCGAATGGGACAACAGGGCGCATGAGCGATATGTGCTGGCAACATTGGTTGCGCCTGCAACATGTTGCCATAGTGGATGGTAAGCCAAGTGTGAAGAGATTTTTATGTTCATTTATTTCAATAATTTGTATACTATAGAATAATAAAATAACAAAGAAATATAAATAATATAACATTAAAAACTATGAAATCAAAAAGTTTATGAAAGGATTTCAGTTTAATGCATTATTTTGAAAATTTAAGAATACAGATTTCAGGTATGCCATTTATCTGTGTGTTTATTTGATTAATTTGCTTTTTTTAGCATTCGAAAATGTTGTGTTTAGTCTGAATTAAGTTCTTAACATATTATTATCTTATTTGACTCAAAGCTATCTTTTATTATTATCAGTAAGTATCTATGACCAGTAAGTATGTATGGTCAGTTACTAACTTTGAATACTAATAAACAATGACTTGCAACTTTTGTAATACAACACATTTCTGAAACTTGGCTGGCAGCAGTCACTTCGTTCCGGGGATGTTGGAACCAGTTGCGAATTATATGCATGTGCGAAAATTGATTTGGTACAAATTCAAGAGCAAGCTATTGAATGAAACTATGGAGTTATTTTTCTTTATAATTAAACAAGTAATAAGTCGGAGCATGGCGAATCGGTGGACTATATATATACATATATATATAGCTGACATAGGAACAATCGGACGATTTATAGAACTATGATTAGTAATTGACTAAGGTCAGTAATTAACTATGATCAGTAAGTAACTCTGATCAGGAACTTTCTATAATCAGTAATTAACAATGAGCACTAAGTAACTATGAGCACTAAGTAATTATGAGCACTAAGTAACTATGAGCACTAAGTAACTATGAGCAGTAAGTTTCTATGACCAGTAATATGTATGGTCAGATAATAACTTTGAACACTAATAAACAATGACTTGCAACTTTTGTAACACAACACATTTCTGAAACTTGGCTGGCAGCAGTCACTTCGTTCCGGGGATGTTAGAACCAGTTGCGAATTATATGCATGTGCGAAATTGATTTGGTACAAATTCATGAGCAAGCTATTGAATGAAACTATGGAGTTATTTTCTTTATAATTAAACAAGTATATAAGTCGGAGCATGGCGAATCGATGGACTATATATATACATATATATATAGCTGACATAGGAACAATCGGACGATTTATAGAACTATGATTAGTAATTGACTAAGGTCAGTAATTAACTATGATCAGTAAGTAACTCTGATCAGGAACTTTCTATAATCAGTAATTAACAATGAGCACTAAGTAACTATGAGCACTAAGTAATTATGAGCACTAAGTAACTATGAGCACTAAGTAACTATGAGCAGTAAGTTTCTATGACCAGTAAATATGTATGGTCAGATAATAACTTTGAACACTAATAAACAATGACTTGCAACTTTTGTAACACAACACATTTCTGAAACTTGGCTGGCAGCAGTCACTTCGTTCCGGGGATGTTAGAACCAGTTGCGAATTATATGCATGTGCGAAAATTGATTTGGTACAAATTCATGAGCAAGCTATTGAATGAAACTATGGAGTTATTTTTCTTTATAATTAAACAAGTATATAAGTCGGAGCATGGCGAATCGATGGACTATATATATACATATATATATAGCTGACATAGGAACAATCGGACGATTTATAGAACTATGATTAGTAATTGACTAAGGTCAGTAATTAACTATGATCAGTAAGTAACTCTGATCAGGAACTTTCTATAATCAGTAATTAACAATGAGCACTAAGTAACTATGAGCACTAAGTAATTATGAGCACTAAGTAACTATGAGCACTAAGTAATATGAGCAGTAAGTTTCTATGACCAGTAAATATGTATGGTCAGATAATAACTTTGAACACTAATAAACAATGACTTGCAACTTTTGTAACACAACACATTTCTGAAACTTGGCTGGCAGCAGTCACTTCGTTCCGGGGATGTTAGAACCAGTTGCGAATTATATGCATGTGCGAAAATTGATTTGGTACAAATTCAAGAGCAAGCTATTGAATGAAACTATGGAGTTATTTTTCTTTATAATTAAACAAGTAATAAGTCGGAGCATGGCGAATCGGTGGACTATATATATACATATATATATAGCTGACATAGGAACAATCGGACGATTTATAGAACTATGATTAGTAATTGACTAAGGTCAGTAATTAACTATGATCAGTAAGTAACTCTGATCAGGAACTATCTATAATCAGTAATTAACAATGAGCACTAAGTAACTATGAGCACTAAGTAATTATGAGCACTAAGTAACTATGAGCACTAAGTAACTATGAGCAGTAAGTTTCTATGACCAGTAATATGTATGGTCAGATAATAACTTTGAACATTAATAAACAATGACTTGCAACTTTTGTAACACAACACATTTCTGAAACTTGGCTGGCAGCAGCCACTTCGTTCCGGGATGTTAGAACCAGTTGAGAATCATATGTACAGATTTGCGAGAGTTGTTTTGGAACAAATTTAAGATATTTGAATAAAACTATGAAGTTATTCTTCTATATAATTTTACTAGTATATAAATCGAACCATTGCGAATCGGTGGACTTTATATATATATATATATATATATATTTTAAGATAAAATATTTGCCTTACTACCTCATTGTTTTTTAACATAACTAATACTTTTATTTTTAAACTATTTGAATTCTAGTGTTCCTAAAGTACACTAGAATTCAAAAAGTTAATAAATAAAAGTATTAATTAAGAAATTTTTGCTTTAAATTTTTACTATGTTATATCTATAAAAACAATTGCAAGACTTTTAATATTTTGTTAATATGTTCATTAAATTTGGCTTAAATGATGCCTGACATTTTAATTATAATCGCTTAATTTTTACTTTGGGCAATTAATCGTATTAGAAGGTTCTATTGTAATAGCATTTCCATTCCCTAATAAATTAATTATCAAAAACAATAATTATTGAACTTCTTGTAATAATTCGCAAAATGTTGCTAGCTTCTAAGGCTCAATCGGGAATAGGATCCACAAGGTTTCCCGCCAATTGCAGGCCAAGCCGAAGTGTCTACAAACAAACGCTCACACACACATTTACGCGCTCTAACAACCCCGAAAAGCCGCAGAGCAAACAACAGCGATGGGGATGGGGGTTGGAATTTTTGTGGCAGGAGGGAAAACGAAGCCCCCCTCCCTCTCGTTCGCAAAGGCGTAAAATCTGCAAAGCTCGACACTGAGACCAAAAGCCGGTTCCCTCCCGTTGACTCCCGGGAAATTCCCCCCCAGTCAGCCCCCATCTACTATTTACATTTTGTTTTGCCGGCTTTTCCGCACGAACCCAGCCGAAGGCGACACGAACGGAAACGAGCGGAAACACCCGAGCAACACACGAGCCTTCGAATGGCATTCGGGACTGGCTTTATATGTCCGATTCACATCCAACGAGTCAGTTGGCAACGCGCAGCACGCTGACACGGTCACATGGTCGGTCTCCTTAGAACGTCTGGGAAATAATATAATTCTAGAATTCTGAAAAATACTTTGTGTGGTGAAATATTGTAGCGGGGACTTTCAGAATCTCGAGTGCCGCGCGTGTGTTATTTTGAGTTATCGCGATCGCGGCTAAGTGCAATTAGTGCCACACAAATTTAGTGCTATGAATTGGGCAATTTCGTAAATAAATATATATACAAAACTAGCAGCAGTGCTTTTTGTGAGTGAGAGAGTTCCATCAGTGCTTCACTTCCAGTCGTTGTCGTCATTGCTCCAAGGTAATTTCCTTCACTATATAGTACTCTAACGTCAGACCCTAAAAATATGTCACAAAAAAAAAGAGGGAAACAAGCAAAATATGAAGCTGAAAATGTCGCGCATGTTAATTAAGATGGTTCATAAAAAAGCAGAAGAACTACCGAATGGGGCGAGGGGCCAATGCCAATCCATCCATCACTCAATTGCCAGTTCGACTACAGATTTCTGGTGCTCCCAACTCTGGTTTTCTATTATGTTAGGTTTTTTCTTTTTTGGTGGAGCACGAACACAAATGTGTGCATTAATTTCAAATTTGAAAAAAAACGCAGAATACAAGTGCACATGTGTTTCATTATTTTTTAATTCCTCTCTCACTTTGCCGGGAGGCAATTGCGTCAGGCGATAAATAATCAGCTGGCCGCGATTGCCATAAATATTTATGCAAGTGGACTCGCTTGTCTAAACAGATGCCCAGTTGGAGTGAGTGATCCAGCCAGCAGCACTCCATAAAACTGGATGACTTCCTTCGGGCTTGGTTTCTGCTGCCAACTGCCGTGTCTACCAATTTCCGGATCTGTTTGTTTATCCATATCTTGATGCAATTTGCACGGCCACGCCTCTCAATTAATTCCGTCGAAAGTTATTCCTTGGGCGGCGGGCCCTCCTTTGTTTTGATGTTATCTATCAGCTGGGAGACCCACCGTTGTTGCATGTTGGCTAACAAAATAATTGACAAAACAAATCATTTACGTGGCAAAAAAGTTTCACAGCAACCCCTTGCACCCCGTCATCGGTTAAATTGCACACGGCGGCCAGACACGCAACATGTTTGATGACACAAAAGCAAACAAAAAAGCCCACGAATTGTGCAACATTCGGAGGCAAAGGCGAATGTTTCGCGCTGAAATATAAATAACAGCATAATAACCAGGCAGGCTAAGAGAGATAAATGTGTGGAAGTGTGGCAAATAAACCAGAGGATGGAGAATTTTCAGTGAGAACAATGCATACATATTTCAAGAGATTTTGCCGGTACTATATTATTGGATTTCCTTTCGGGAACGAATGATTTTGAAAGTATTTATGATTGTATAGTGCAAATAGCAACAAGAACTTGTTAAATAAATTATGAATATTAATTCAGAGATAATAGAAAGATAAATGCATTAAACTTAGGCAAGATTGTGAATTTAAAACACATCAAAATATAAATACAAAGTTTATATATTAAACAAATTCTTTAATAAGAAACCTAGATATCTAAAACATATTGTGAAATGCTTACAGTAGCATTATAATTACCAATTCTTGCTTCAAATATTTCCTAAAAATTATGCTCAAAATATGTTAGTTAGTAAAACCATTAGGTCATAAAGATAAAATACTAATCCTCTCCTTTCACTAAAGTGAATTTATACAGGACACACTAAACATACCCACAAGTAACAAAATGTATTCAATTTGGGTAAACCAAACATTTTAATGACCCCCAAAAAAACCAAAAAGGGTAAACTAAACCGAATCGAAAATCGGATTCGGTAATCAAAACAAATGCAAAATGCGCGTTTAACCGCAAGTTAAATCACATTACGGGACCGACAAACCGCAAAAGGCAAACATATCCTGCGGGATGTGGGAGGTATCCTGGGGGTTAATGTAATGTTTGGCCTGCGGCTCACAGTCGATTGTCTGATTTACGACTGGGCCCGCATACAAAAGGCTCATTGCAGGCAGTCGTCGACATGTTAACATGTTGTTAAACACACGGCGATAGAGGGGCAATTTTTACGGCTTTCGAAATCCCCAACATTTATGGCTATTAGATTTTCGGTTATTGCGGCGTCGCGTTGTTAGTGGCGATAATATGGTGAGAATAGGGGGTTTCCCTATTTACCATCCTGCTGCTGACTACCAAAATGGCCACAAAATTTGTAAGTGGCGCCCGCTGTGGTTCGGTTTATTAAAAACGTATTACTTCCCCCCACTGAACGCCTAGCAGTAGGCAATGGTTTTATGGCAGCACTACGCACTCTGAATGATAAATATCTGCTGGAAATATATATACAATTTCTATCTGTATCTGTATCCTTGGCAGGTGACGATTGCTTAAGCAAATAGTCGAGCATATAGTTTATAGCTGAGATGAATTTCTATTTAACAGATTACTCTCAGTTTATGTTCCGGCGATTGGCGTGTGAAAAACTTTATAGCATTTTAATTGCTTCAACTTTCGATTGCCTCACAAGTCACATGGTTCCAGAAACTGATGCATCTGGATTGTGTTTATTTATGTGCGTCTAATTTATGCGAGTAGTTCTACTTGGATTCCATTTCATCGACCTTGTTCCCGTCCTGGCCGTCCGTCGGCTTTGTAAAAATATTATAAAAATTTCAACAACCTTGTCCTAGTCACCTTTTACGGCGTATAAGTTCAAGTATTCACGTATATATAATTAAATGATATTGATTTTTTAACGCCTAAGAAAAACCATAAGATAAAAATAAATTAAAATAAATATACTTTCTTTTTCAATACATTTTTCCACCACACAAAATTCGCAATGCCTAAGCTTTCCAGTCTCCCAAGTTTATCCCCCAATTTTTGGCAGGTGACGCATCAAAGGCCGCAGCTGTCGCGTATTAACTTTTCATTTAAATAGCCAAAAACCACGAAACTATTTAAATGCCATCTGATTTTTGACTGCAAAAATCAAATTCAGTGATTACTGGGGGCCGAAATTCCGGGCATTTTGAAACCAAACTGCCAGGGGAGCTGGTGCATCTGCATTTGCATCTTAAATTCCCAGGTGCTGAGATGCCTTTTAATTTATGAGCTGTGTATTGTGGGTTAATGTAACAGCAAATTGCCAATTGCGGTTTGAGTTAAACAAGATGGCCCCACCCACAGTCAGTACACTCATCCACACTCACACCCACCCCCACACCCGCAGCAAGGTCGCAATGTAATCGCTGGGATCCAGAGTGGGTGGCATCCAGGTGCATTTGCATGCTCCATTTGTTCGCAACGAGGAAATGCGGAAAGTAAAAAGAGTTCAATTAGAGCTTAGGGAGCACGAACACGAAAAAATCGAGAAAACCAAACCGAAATCGGTCGATAATTTCATTGCTCCGGCTTCTCACTTGATTAGCATTCCTTTGTGGGACAACGACAGCTGCCTGAGGTTATTTGTCTTAAATTGTCGAAGAAATGTAAATTTAAAGTTTATAGAGTTTTAAATTTATTTAAAACAATTTGAGCGTAGAAAGAAATTTGCCTACAAAATATGGAAAATATATTTAGGAATAGATTGAGAATTTAATTGTATCGGCATACTTGCGAAACTCAAATAAATATAGCTCTTTATGGTTTGACTATTTCCATTTCTATATATAAAATTAATATTACAAAAACTCATTTTGCTTAAATTTTAAAAAAGTGCTATATATTTAATTATTTATGGTTTATGCCTTTACGAGAGCAAGTCCAAGTTAATTTGTTACTTACATAAATTGTTACCTTAAATAGTCATTCTATTGATTTATAGGTCATTAGGTTGTAGTAAGCAAAAATTACAGTCTGACTAGACATATATTATTTCCAGAGAATACCTTTAGTTACTACATTTATTTTAAGTTTTCCATATACCCTACAAAACAGACAAAATAAAAATTCATTGAGAGAACACCAAACCACATTAAGCTCAGCGAGTTCACTGCGCTTGTAATAAAACGCTGAAATATTACGCATACGCCAGGGACGCATAAATAAGTGAGCAGAACGAAGTATTTTCCGATCTGATTGATGCCTTCCTGCCGGAAAATCGTTTTAGCCAATGGCGTGAAATTCACTTTCATTCGCTATTGGCCTTTGCTTATTCATTCAGCCGCGTTTTTGGATGCCATGCACATTTGCAGGGCTTTTGTTTTCGGGTTTACGTGTTTGGATTCATGTGCCACGGGATTTTTATTGATTCCCCGCTTGAGTCACTGCCAAGACAAAAAAGGAAAAATAAAATTAAAGGAGAATGGTGCTTGTCGAGTGGATGAAAGCCAAGGCGAAACACAGCAAAATAATTAGCAAGGCAGCTCGTAATGTTGGGCCATAAATCCAGAGTCTGACATTTCGTGTCAAGGCTCGTCGGCGAATCGATTGATAAATTAATCAGAATTAGGCCTTGAAAAGGCATAATAAATATTTATAGGATCCCGTATTGGCGTGCACCGTTTGCCGGCTTTTCAATTTCAATTGTAATTTCAAATGTCCATCAAAGCTGGCAATTTGTACTTATCCGGAAAGATTTGTCCGGAAATAAAGTCAATCAATGTTTTATATATGGTTTAATCTAGTGTCTTAATATATTGGGCATATAAGTGTCGTGTGTTTGATCCTTTTTTGTTATATCTCGAGTTTAAATTCCCCAGTATTGCTTAGACTTGTCTAGATAACTTAGCTATATCTGTAGCTGAAGCAATGAACTCCTCTGGCTGACAACGAAGCCACTTAAGCCAACTTGGAATGTAACTGACAAATGAAGACTGACATTTACCAAACAATTGAGTTCCACGGAGAGAATAAAAAAGCGAAATGAAGAGCAGTGAAAAACAGAAAAACCAAATTATTCCGCTTTCAACTTGTCGCGACTGTTGAGTTTTTGAAAGCAACTTGTTGTCATAAGGCTGCATATTCCCTGTTCTGAACGTGAAAGATTTAAAATAAAACCACTTAGCCGCTGAGCTCCATTTGCAACAATTGTTTGAGCCTCGCGAGCCATGATAAAGTGTCCTTAGAGACACATCCGTGACGGCAGTGGGCGCGGGAATCCCCGAAAATTACGTCAAAACCATGAGCTTAAGCGGCGAGAACATTTTTGAATAATTTAAACACTTGGCGGTTGCAGGGTGACAAATATATGAGTAGGATATGGTAATGCTTTTCTATTTTTAAAGAGTCTGGAAATGAATTTAATGATAAAATTGGTAGTATTACTTAATAATTTATTTTGAAGTTCCATATTCCATA